TCTAGGTCCACTGCCCCGTACGCTATGTTTTCCCTGATGGAACAAGAGAATAACACCGGCTCCTGGTAGAGAGACACAGAGACAGAGAAAGAAAGAAGGAAAGAAAAATGAACGAACGAACGAAGAAAGAAGAAGAATGATGGGAAATTATTTAAAATACAAAATATATCCAGGCAAAATAATAATTGGAGGGGGACTAAACTATTTTTTGTTTTACCTGACTGACGGTTCCAATGTGACTCCTCAGCCAATAAGGATTCAGATCCCTCAGATCCTGCCCATCTATCGTGATGGTTCCTGAAGGAGGAGGTAGAGAGGAACTCATTCTCTAGCTAAACCACTTCTATGAAACCCTATTTGATTGACTACTGTTGACTACTAAGATGCTTTTATCCAAATTGACTTAAAGAGAAATATATTTCATTAATCAGCAGGTAGACTGGAGATTATGGGATCCAAACCCAGAACCTTTTTCGCCTAGGAATCAAACACCCTTTCCACTACTAGACTGTTCTGCCCCAAATACACAAATAAAAATCGGCCATCTTTAATAAATTAAGAATGTCCATAAAAACACTGGGTTCCTCCCTCACCTGCATCGGGGTCGTAGAGCCGAAGCAACAGAGACACCAGTGTAGACTTCCCGGAGCCACTGGATCCCACTACGGCCATGACGGATCCGGACGGTACCACCAGGTTGAGGTTGCTGAATATAGGAACCTCCTTGCGGGTGGGGTAGGAAAATGTGACATCACTGAACTCCAGACGGCCCCTGAGCTGGTCTGCTGGGATCACCAAGCCCTCTGTGACCAATGAGAGGCAGAGGATAGAGAGATAATGTGTTAATAATGCATTTACAGTTACAAGATGTAGAGACAATGCGTAAGGCTTGGACGGGCTTGGATGATCTCTTGCATGCGTGTCCATGTATCTATCTGTGTATCTGTGTGCGTGCGTGCATACTTGTATACCGACCATTTAAAGGAAACTCTGGTTTTCTGTCCAGAAGCTCCCAGAGTCGGGTGCCAGCTCCCAGACCCTTCATAAGCTCAGAGTAGAAGGAACTCATACCTGGTGCATTACACCGTGAAACAAACACAGACACCACACTCTTTATAGAGACCAAACAGAGACAGCTAGAGCAAATAAGGGCTAAATATTCAGTCATCTAATATCCGTGTGTACAGTGTGCAGTACCTGCGATGCTGATGCCGACCCAGAAAGCGTACATGAGGAAGGAGGAGAGCTCCCCCATGGTCATATGCTGGTTGGCCATCAGCAGGCCACCTTTGTAGAGCACGGCGAGAATCATCAGATTCCCACTCAGACCTGTCTGCAAACAAACAATCAGCCATACATAAACATTTGAACAAGAAATGGTTGAGATGATCCACAGACAGACAAACTGACAAAGACACTTTCTAAACGAAAACAATGGCTAGTTTAAAGTAACCAAACTGGTTTCTAGGAAGGTTTGTGCAAAAAAGCAGAAGCCTGTGAGTTCATGGGCCAACTCTGTGGGATTGCATCATTCATCATCAGTAGGCCTGGTCTTAACCCTCATCTTGGGAATCAATTATGTAATAAACTGACAATAAAATGTGGGCGCATCACAGGCACAGACACAGACACAGACTTACTGCTCCAAAGAAGCCAGCTTTCAGTTTTGCCTCCTTCCTGGCCAGGCTGAGAACATGGTCTGTCTTCTCTGTGTAGCTACTGACTTCAGAGAGCTCTTTACCAAACGCCCTGACTGTACGCATGTTGCTGATACGCTCCTCTGCCAACTGGAACAAGAAGACACCAAACAAACAAATGTATGTTTATTATATGCATACAAATTAGGCAGATGCTATTAGCACCTAAACCCCCTCACCAGCACCAGCCCCCTATCCTAATTCCTAAACTTAATCATCTCTAACCTAATTCCTAAAATTATCCATTTCTAACCTAACACCTAAACCTAACCATCTCTAACCTAATACCTAAACTTAATCATCTAGCCAGCTAAAATGAGCAATTTATTAATGTAGACCTTTACTTAAATGTGAACCTAAACATAATTTGCAACATAAAATAGAGCCGTGGAGGGACTCGAACTCGGGTTTCCCACATCAAAATCATACGCACTAACTAATGTGCCACTGGTTCAATTAACAATGATTGGGTCAAACAGTGGCTTTAACCAGCTACTGTATGTGTTTTGGGGGGGTGTAAACAAATTAAGTAATATCGACTTAACAGGCCGCTAGATAAACAGCTTTTTTTCTTTGTTTTGTACCCTCCACATTTTTCCATCTAATATTTTGCTTTTTGAAAGCCGTCTCTAAATCTCCAACACTGGCCTTACATTGCTTGTGACGTGATGGTGATGTGATCCAAACATCGATCGATGAATCCAAACGATGGCTAGCTAAAGTGGTCTGGGCAGGTAAATCAAAAAATACATGAACTGAAAGGGGCAAGAAACTCTGGACAGCGTGGTGTAAACTCTAGTGTGGATGGAACAGGGTTTTTTTGTACATTTAGCCGGGTTGGTGTGGAATGTGGACATGTTAGTTTTTTCTCTCTGAATGTTTCACAGTACCTGTGTGGCGTCTGCCAGGGCATCCTGGGTGCGCTTGGAGATGGAGCGCAGGTATCGGCCATAGACCACAGCAAGCAGAGTCATGGGAGGTACCACCATCAGAACAAAGGCTGCTAGACTGGGGGAGATGTAGAACTACAAGAGGGGGGGGGGGACCATTATTTATTTCATATGTCCAGATGCTGGGAAACAACTTTATTTCCTGCTTGCTGTTCCAGTTGAATAATTATATTTCCTGCTACCTATTACAGTTCAATTATTACTATTGGATCCGTCCCTTGTTATTAAGAAAAATTGCCCTTCAACTCTGTCAACACTTCTGCAGCCTAGTTAGACACACACAGAACAACTAGAGAAAGGCTGAATGGAAACTGTTGAACAATGGAGCGCTCAGCTCAGCATGAATGATGAATGTTCAGATGAGAGGCTTCCACAATGATTTAATAAATCAAAGCAACCCAAGTCAATAATTATTTAGCATTCCTCCACCCCTTAGGATGAGGCCTGGTTACAATTTGCAATTAAAGAATGCAAGAATGAGTATTATAAACCTACTGCTAGAAGGCAATACAACAGCACAGACGGCTTCTTTTGTATTCTTTAACTGGAAGAACAGGTCTCACACACATATTGACATGCATCACATCTCACACTGGGTGTTGCAAGTATGTCTTACTCTTGACCAAATAGATTGTTAGCAATGTATACAATTTGTGACATTCATAGGGGATATGAAATGTAGCATGTAAATTCACATCAACCTTTAAAATCTTGAACCATTACAGCTGAATCTAATGGAGGTTATTATTTGGATTAAAAAGGAGAGATTGTTTACAATATTACTCAATTACCATTACTTTTCAGAGAACAGGAAGGAGCATATCTGTCCTGACCAATCAGAGTGGACTATTGAGGAAAATGAATACTAATAACAATATCAAATTATATACAATCATATATATATATATATATATATATATATATATATATGCGAGATATATATATTATATATGCGAGCATGAGTCATGTCGGCCAATGGGAACTTGTTTACATCCGGGTCAGAGAGCAGTCCGAGAGCCAGATATAAGCTTGGCTACTTTTGTTTGGAGTTTCGTATTTTATATTTGTGGACCTGAGGACTATGTGTGTCATGAGTCTCATTGTTTCGCTAAATTGCTATCGAATTGAATTGCTAAAGCGGCTGCCATCACATTTCACATGTAACTTTTGAGAGTTTAATGGAACAGTGTAATTGAGCCCAAAAGTATATGCATGTCCTTATTTGCATTTCATTAGTATAAAGTAATGAATAAAAAACTACTACTTTGTATCAATACACAATTTTATTTGCGATAATTAGTTGCCCGCCATATCACCGCACGCATCAGAAAGAAAGCCTCCAGAGAAAAGAAAGTCAAATATGGCGTTGAAATTCTTGTGCTTTAAAAACACATTTGCTGACCTTCTTCAATCCTGTCTGCATTATTATAATATAGTCTGTCCACGTTATTATATATATTATATATATAATATAATATAATATTATATATTATTATATCCATTGTCTGTAACAGTTGATACCAGATTGTGCCAGGTCCTGTGCTTGTGTAGCTCTTCAGGCTAACAACAAGGCAACTGAATCTCATGGAGCCAAACTCCAAGCTGATTGGTCAGGGTGATTTTACCGGGAAGGGAGGGCTCAGGGTGGTGAAGAAGCGCTGGTAGTTTTTTGAAAATCCGGAAGTCCCGGGAAAAAGACGTTTACTGGGTCATTTGAGAGTATGAAAATAGGCGTATTTTCATACTCTCAAGGACCTGAAAACTACACCTTGATTTGAATCTTATACACTCCCAGTGTGTCTGCCTATGCTCATGCTCTATTAAATCAAATACTTTGCAGTCAAGCAGTATCCTAAAAGAAATAATTTTTAATCATGGACCTTCCACTAGCTGGTTCTTACCATCATGCTGACCCCAGCTGCTGCCTGGGCAACAGCCCTCAGTCCATCCGCAAGGTTGTCTGTGATCGAGCGGCCAACCATCGTAGTGTCGGACGAAAGGCGGTTGATGAGCTCACCGGTGCGAGAGCGGTCAAAGAACGCCACTTCCTGCCTCAGAATAGAGGAGAACAGAGAAGCGCGAAGATTTCGGACGATCTGTTGGCCTGTGGGGGGGGGGGGGGGGGGGGTGGGAAAGTGATGAAGGGAAGACATTTTGAGGAAAGAAAACTTTTGTAACCTATGGGGGTTTCACAGTTGGTTCAGTTGGTCTGGTTTGATGGTTTCTATGTCTGATGAAAGGTCCTGTTTTATCCATTGTCCGAGTAGATGAAAGTTATTTTATTTCACTTAGCAGACACTTTTATCCAAAGCGACTTACAGTAAATTCAGATATGTAATATAGGAGGAGGAGGTAGGCGGACACTGGGGATTGAACCCAGAACCTTTCAGGTTTGGAGTCGAACACCCACTACAATATCCTGCCCCCCCCTAATTTGAATAAACTTCTATTACTTCCACCTGTCGATATGTTTCTTTATATGCTCCCACTGCACATCATCATAAGGGTGCGTATGTCAACACACATCGTTTCACCTCACCTGAGAGCTGCATGAGGTAAACTCTGGCAGCATTAGCTGCTCCGCCACAGAGAAACACTCCGGTCAGCACGATGCTCAGCGACGTCAGGGATGCGGTCATGGTGTCCATGTTGTTACCAGTGGTGTAAATGGTGTCGATGACCCGGCCCAGGAAGAACGGGGCTGACATCGTCACCGCACTGGAAACGGCGAGGAATCCTACAGCAGCTGGAATGACATGCAAAAGCTTAACAATGAAAACAGTTTTGCAGGTGAAAAGCTCCTAGTCATCCAAAACATAGATTTACGTTCGGCCCAGGAAGATTTGACAATCAGACAGATCCATTAAGCAATTAGAAGCATACATTGACCCATGCAACACATACCGGACAGTCTCAGTCTCTCAGGATGAGCCAGTTTCAGGATCCTCCTCAGGTCATCCAAGGGAAGGTTTGTGGAGAGCTGGCTGCTGCCACTCTCCACTGGGGTCTTTAATGTACTTTCTTTCGTGGCGTCCGCTGAGGAGCTCTTGAAGACCACTGATGTGTGGCCGGCGGTCCATGGCTTCTCCAGCAACAGTTGCGATCGCTTGCAACCTCTCAAGAGACCCCCAAGTGAGCTATATGGCAGGACTGATACAGTGCTGCGGTGGGGACCCCGGTGAGACACATTGTCCGGCGATGCTTTCCCAGACCCATTGCTCCAAATATGCAGTCCAGCAGCATGACTTCTCCTGCAACCTGACAACACACATCTATGAACAATGGAGGGGTTGATTCTGCTTTTCAGTAAGTGCACCCCACTATTGCATCTCGATATGTCCAATAAAAGACGCATCGTCTTTTGCTGGCAGGACAAAAGAAAAACAATGTATAATGCGAATTGAGATAAGGCAAACTGATGGTGTCATGGAAACATAGCTTCCCTTAAAAGGCAAAGTCCAATTGATGTCAACTTGAAGATTTCCTTTGGTAAGAAGTATTATTGAAAATGTCCTTCAAGAAAACTTGATATGAAAACAAACGTCCTCGAAACAAGGCGGTTCCTGTGGTATTGTTGGGTTTTGGCGGTTATGTCCATTTTATCTTTGTTTCACAGCGTACTACCATATCGACTGAGTTATCTCCAATCACCAGCCGCCAGTTAGCTACAACACCCTGCCTGTCTCAGGCATCTGGCGCCGACACGAAGGGCAGGCGGCAGCCATGGAGACAAGGACTCACGATATAATGGTCTACAAAAACTGCAGAAACCGATGCAAACTAAAACCATGTGCCCATACAGACAACTGCTTGTATGTAAGAGCAACAGATGTGAGAAGACCAGAAAGGTGACCTGAGAGCGACTCCTCTGTCTGATCGGATGTAATCAAATCAATGGCTGTGACGCAAACCAAAACTTTTTCAGACATGAATAATCGAGTACTGATAACTGGGGGGAAACTACGGGGAAAACCTTACGGATTTGTTTTTGTTTAGAAACAGGCCTCAATTAAAAGTACGCAACAATGATGAAAACATTTCCTATCAATTTTTTATTTTTTAAATACACTGCATATTATCCGTGACTTTAATGAGGACATCTAAACCCTATATCTAAACACATTTTGTCTGCAAATCATAATCAAGTTAATTGTGGTTTAACTTATTTTAATCTTGTATATATATTTTATTTTAAATATTTGTTATTCCATAACCCGCAATTAACCGAAATGTATTATTTTATACATGTTCATCCAAATCCGCTAACTCGAAAGAACGATGCTCGATTGCTTGCGCCTCTTCAAGGGAAGAGGTGAAAGTTGAAAGGTAACGCATAGCACACTCACAGCCACACGTGCAGGTTCTACATGTTATTATTATTGTATTAAATGCCATTATGTTCATGTCATATAGTCAAAGGTTAAGATGTTAATATTTAAGTTTAAGTTTGGCAGCCCATTGTATAGGGGTTCCGCTAACCGTGTGTTGTGTCTGATTGCACAAGCTAAGATAGCTCGCTGTTCGTTAGCATCATAGTGTTGGACGTTAGGCAGCAATGTGCTGCAGCAGGTGGAGCAGGAGTATGTATTTAGTATCATTATTTAGTCTGTCCACAGAAAGGTGGAAACGTCGTTGGTGAACGTTTGAAATGAATTGGGTTTGAATTTAGTAACAGTATAATCTCGAAGATCCTTTAAGTACTTTTCAATTTCCCCCTCAATGCTTTAAATTAAATGTATCCGGCTTTCTTTAATTCCTAATGATGTACCAACCATCAGCAGCAGCAGAGATGGCTGCCATTTACTCGGGGATCCACTTGAAGTTGAAGAGTCCCGGGACTCCTTGGGAGAACAAGCTGAAGCTGGCTCGTTTTGCCTTCATCTCATCCCAGTGCCTGTTGCCAAACAAGGAACAGGTAACAATTATGTCATTGCTTTTGTCATGTCATTTTGCAATGTTTGTGTCTTCGAATCATATACGTTTCACCTTGGATGGTGGTCTGGTTGTACTGAAGTCATACATGTATGTACTATTCCTGTTGGTTCTTTATTCTGAATGTGTTGCCTTATGAACTCATCCATTGACACATTTTCCAAGGTTTGTAGAGAGTATAAATCTCTAATAGCTGTCTTACCATGTTCTCCCCCAGGTGTTACTGGACTGGACCACACATGCGCTGACGGGTTTCTACAGTAACAAGGTGGAGTTCTCCCACTGCGTTCTAATGGGACTGTGGCGTTACCTTGATGATTTGCTACACAGCAAGAAGCTTCACTCCCTGCTAAGCCAGGGTAAAAACATCACCCTCAAGCTCAATGTGAAACAGGTACAACTGATACATGCATGCACTGAATGTATACAAATAGTGAAATAATTGTAGAAAATGTGATCATGATTTTGGCAATGCATATTGCCATTCGGCGCCAGTAGAGCTAGACCTGTTTCAGCAGCTCCGTCTTTTTTAGATATTTAGTAGTTTATAGGAGGGCTGTGGAACGATATGGTAAGATCATCAAATCATATTGCAATTATTTTGACAGATATTGCGATTGCGATATGATTCATTTATCACTCATTAGTGTGAATGATAATTTTTGCATCACAATTAAAATGTTCACTGATGTCACATTTGTTGGGATCTGTACCAACCTCTGGAGAGAAAAATGTGTAGGCCAGGCCATCTCTGCAGCACTACAGTACTTATACATTTACACATTTTACCCCGATTTCGATAGTGCACTTGGCCATATTGCGATTTTGATAATATTTCAATGACTTCTTCAGCCTTAGTTTATAGGGTTTGTTTATACTGTTTGTTGCTGACATTGAAAATAATTAATATAACCATGGACACCAAACCTTTTACTTACTTTTTCACCGTTTAACTGTGTATGGGGAACGTGACATCTCTGGGCAATAAGATGGTGGAGCTTACATCCTGGTGAGAGGACAGAGGAATTACTGTGAATGCAATCTCATGTGTTTTACGGAGACATGGCTGCGGGAGGTGATTCCCAATGCAAACACCACCATGAAGGGCTTTAAGACAATGCGGGCGGACAAGATTCACTGTCAGTGAGGCAAAAAGCGAGGAGTTGCTGTGTTTGTCAACAACAGATCCTTGCCATATTCACGTGAAGGAAAGCATCTGTAGCCTGGACCAGTGGTTCTCAACCTTTTTGAGTCGCGACCCCCAATTTAACATGCATGTTGTCCGCGACCCCCCACCCCTGTGTGAACGCACTTTTGATAAAGCGCTGTCTTTTTGTTTGTTTATTTTTTCCGCTGTGCTCACTGAACAGAATCTCACCGCACAGTTCAGATCATACAAACTCTGTCACGGTCTGTCTGCTACTCCCCCTCCACTACTCCATTCATTGACCCTCGCAGCTGGGCTGCATCGCTGTTCGTTCATGCAAGTCTCTCCAGTACGTCTCCTGTCCTGGTTTCCCGATCCTGCCTGTCCCCGGCTACGATCCCCGCCTCGTCCCTCTGGTTCCTCGTTCGCCTGTCTCCGGTCACAGTCTGATATTGCTAAATCAAACGTTAGCGTATTCACAATAACTCCCAACCTTGTTCAGTTGTAACACGTAAAAAAAACACAGTCTGATATCGCTAAATCAAACGTTAGCGTATTTAGTTTGAAGTCCGCGTCGTAAGCGTGTCTCTTGACAGGTGCCATTTTGGGGTCTTTATACACACACTCTGATATTATGGTGAAGCACGTGTATTACTCCGTGACGCTCCTGACTACGGTAGCCATAACAACCAGAATTAATCCATATATAAGGCGCTCCGGATTATAATGCGCACTGTCGTTTTTGAGAAAATTAAAGGCTTTTAAGTGCGCCTTATAGTGCGGAAAATACGGTAAAACATCTCCCTGTCTGAAATTATGTAATTTAATATTAATTTTGTGCATTTATATTTTTTCCAAAATGATTTGGCGACCCCCAGAAATCTAGCCTAGTCCTAACTAGACCTTGGTACTCATTACATTCATACTAAAGGTCTAGCAGTGCTGTAGAGACAAACGATGTCTCACTTGAAGGCGGGTGCTGTTGAAGTTTAAAACCTATTGGCTCTGCCCAGTGCCACTCTGGATCTGCCTTAACCAATCGCTAACGCGTGACATATTTCATGCGCCAGAAACCACGTTGCGCGCAGTATACAAACGGCAGATGCAGTGAGCATTAGCATTAGCCTGGTTCCGCCCGCCTCCGTACTTACGCTCAATAACTGAAATTCGCACACGACCTCTATGTCACTGTTCTCAGGCCGCGCCTCCTGTTCGCTGATTGGAATGCACATTTTGGGGAAAAGAAATCGTTCTGCCATACAGCACCGCCAGACCTTAGTACTAAAGTGAAATGAAAATTGAGCGGAAGTACGTAGGTGGGCGGAGCCAGGCTACCAGAAATCATC